CCTATATATATATATATATATATATATATATATATATATATATAAAGTTGGGATTGTCTGAAAAATTAGAATTTTGTGAAAAAACGTAGGAATGTTGCAATAAAATGTTAGCATAAGGCGTTGTTTGACAGTTGTTAAATGGTTTGGTGTAGAATGATTAAGTGGTCAAAATAATTAAGAGACTTTCATGATATAATGTAAAATGAAATATAATTGTCTGGTAATTGTTTACAATGAAATTAGGGCGCATAATTGTTAAGGGTGACCCATGATACAAAATCATTCAGAGAATTTTAGAACCATTAAGAGTCAGATTTTTTTTTTTTTTTTTTTTGCCAAACAAGATTCACCTCTTAATGATTCAGAAATTGTCTCTTTACGACAAAGACGTGTGTAATGCACCTTTTAGTCAGGTCTTTATAGTTTATTTGTAGATATTTACGACAAAGAGATGCACCCCTTTTAGTTTCTAGGTTATTCATAGACGCGCCTTGATGACAATATAACAAATAACGGGTCGGATTATCATAAATTACAAAAATTGTTTTAAAAAATATCAATCAACATATTTTATTCATTTTACTTTTAAAAAATCTAAAGTAGTGATTTCATGATGTTAAAACTAATATGCACATGGCACATGACACATGACACATGACATTACTTGAATCGTTTAAAAATCAAATAAACCTTGACGCTAAAAAATATTTTAAGGTCTTTTTTTCCGATTGACATCTTTATACTTTTAATTCTTATTTGACGCTAGCGACATGTATCATATACATATTAGATTTTTACAAATTTGTATTTTCAAATAATCAAAAGTCAAAGAATTCAACAACTTAGATGTCTAAATGATTATACAATTTGCTTTATAGATAAGTTATTATCATAGACATATATACACATCAATTATTTAAATCATAAAATATATAAAAAAGACATGGAAAAAAGTGACATAACAAAACCAAAGATTTGTATCATCAAAATGATTAGTTTATATCGTTTGGATCCCTAAAAGCGTAGGAATGCGAGGTGTCATATTTTGAAAGTGATGATGATTCCAAATAATGAATGTGGACAAATAATTTTATGATGATTGAGTGCAACTACTTAACTAACCCCTAACAAATCATCCAACTTTTCATCATACCAAAATAAATTAATTAATAAAGCTTGCTTACAAAAACAACTTGTATATAATTAATTACAATTATATGCTTTGAAACAACAAATAAATTTGTGAGTTAACATTTACGTATAACATCCTTTTATATTTCAAGAGCATATGCAGTGAACTATGCTACGAGTTCATCCATTAACTTGCACGTAACATGGTCCATTAGAAACGAAAATGAAAGATGATATTTTATTTGTGGTTATTGAAAACATGACAATAAGGATTGTTTCTGCAAATAACATAATCTTAAGAGACTCACAGACTGCACCTCATCTTTGTAGAAACTTCAAGGGTACCAGAGCAATTTCAAGATTCTTTAGGGTGTCTTTTGCAATTTTATACATAAATATAAATACCTTTTTTTTCCTTTAGAATAGTCATATTATTCATTTCATTTTGTATACTCTCTCTAGCTAGATCTCTCATCTCTTTCTTCTTCTTAGCTTTAGTATTCATATGAATAAAATCATTCGTTTGTACTTTTGTATACAAAGAAAAGGTGTTTTAAAGTCGATTTGCATGTTGGAGCGACTAAGTTGCATCAAAGGTCGCTCGGGCCTCTTTCCCCGTTTTCTAGTAGGTTACTTTACCCTGACTGCGACCCAAGTCATGTACCAGATCACGTGGAACCTTGGACTCCCACAAAAATACATTTATATATGAAACGTCAAGGAATGTTTTGCATATGGAAAAAAAAACACAAAAATACGTTTATATATGGAAGACTTTTGTCTAGGACTTTTCCCTGGAAAATATGTCGCTAAAGGGTGATTCATCACAAAAGTTTGTGGTAATTCAAATCAGTGACATATTATCCATGGATTATGTAGGTGATTCATTTGTATTTTCTCAAAAAACATTATATTTTACCGAAATATTCGGTAATCATCGACGGAAATTTCAAACTTGTGAAACATTAATATAAATCATAGCTTAAAAATCCAAGTGATTAGATAGTTTTTGGTTGATGTCCCGAATATTTTTCACATGTATTGTTTTTTACCTAAGAAAGAATATGCGTTTGATTTGTATAGATATATATATATATATATATATAGATATAGATATTGTATTAATTGGAAAAAGGGAATAGTTGTAGTGGATATTCAAACATGACCTGTTATCTACCATCACTAAATGCAACAAAATTTGCTAACAAGTATTGAATGCTTCACGAGTACTTATTGTCTGGTGATGAGTGATTTGTTGTAAATGGAGTTAAATGCGTGTGAGGCCACATCATGACAACAAACAAACCAACTTTAATTCAATGGGTCCCCCTCCCTTTTTAACCTTATTTTTCTTTCTTTCTTTCTCTCTTTCAATTAATTAATTAACTTATATAATAAATCATACCAAACACTTTGCCATGAAATCAAGTTTTACTAAAAACATATTATCATCTCACATCTTACATTTTCACACTAAACACGTCTTTTCATTTCATCAGCGTTACGTTTCAAATTACACCTTTACAATCTCATTGATTATGTAATCACTTGTCATGCTTTATTATTTATATATTCTCCTATTATTCTTCATATAAATTGGATCCTATATACAATAATCAACATCTTTAAATATTTTTTTAAAAAAATTGCTATAAAGGTTCGGCTTTTTTTACCTTCACAATATTTTGTTGTGAAATTTCAAGTGTAAAAATCGTGTCTCACGAAAACAGTCTTGTCTAACGTGAATCCAACCCTAGAAAAAGAAGGTTCAAATATGAATATAGATAATTTACGAGCATATATTACAATGCATCAACATCTCATACAACATTATGGTTGTATAAAAAACTTGACCTGCCAAAATCAAGTTAATAATGACATATGTAATTTGCATTCGAACCTTATTCAATTAATTATTTTAAATTAATAAAAGATTAATATTATTAGAAATTAAAAAAAAAACATTTATCCATTATTTTTAAAACTACAACATTAAAAGAACCGACAAACATTGGAACTAGTCAAATTGTACCAAAAATACATTTTTTTTCTCTATAAATTGATATTCACATTATTATATTTATGTACGTATTTTTAGCAGGTTTAATCGTTTTGTATTCATTATTTATGTTGTACATCATCTAAAGTGCTAATGCACATGATCAAATAACAACGTTGGTGTCGTCATATATATATAAATACATGTGATCATGTACACAAAGACACAACATCGATTTACATATGTGAAATGTACCAACTACCTTTGGATGGTTTGGTTTTTTGATTTAAGGGCAAAAACACTTGGACCTTTAATTTTCTTTATCAACTTTCATCTTTACATTCACGAACTTTTACATATTTTCAATCACTTCCACATACATGAATTAATTGAATTTTTTTGTCATGGTGATAGAAATAGGTAAATAATGGTAGAAGAAGATTTGTGTAATGCAAGTACATCTAGGTGGATGAAAGTTTTGTGTTCTTCCATTCTCACCAAAAAAATATTCTCACGAGAACCCAACTCTACATTATATATATATATATATATATACACACACACGCACACACACAGTGTGCTTTGAACCGCTTCAAAGTTGCACTTTAGCATAATACAGTTTGATAGAAATGCAAAACGAAACCACACCACAAAAATTTTAAATCACACGGTGTGGTGGTTTATAGACACCCCTACTCTTAGTAATGAACCCATAAATTATTTTGAGCAGGTGCACATTTAAGGTGAATCAAATGTTGGTTTAATCATGGTTTGACTTAGGGAGAAAGTCAACACGATTCAACTTAGGGGAAAAATCAACATTGTCGATTTAAGATGAATTGACATAATGAATGAAAATAAAGCATGAAAAAAATAAGAAAAATCAAAATGAAAGGAAATTTAACCAAAAGTTGTCTTGGCATAGTGGTAATGTTGCTTATAACTGTACATGAGATTATGAGTTCAGTTTATGTAACTATATTTTTGCTGTTGATATTTTCAAAAATAGCATTGTAGGGCCCGGATAGATGCTCTGAGCCAATACTGAAATGTAAAAAAGAAGCTTTTCCTTGAAAGAATCAAACCCATGAACTCGTGTACATAAAATGGTAATACAACCATCTCATCCATGTTTAACTTTTGTTATAGACTTGGTTTCGATGTATTTAAAGACACAACTCAAAAATCAAGCAGGTACCCATTTCAGACGGCTATTTTTTACTCTCACAATAATTGAGTGAGAGGATATACGAGAGTCTGCTGAGCTCTTAATAGGTCCACCCCTACTTACTCTTACACACCATATGATTATGTACTTCTATTTTATATTAGCTTTAACAATCGATCTCGTTATACTACAAGTGATGCTATTCACTAACTAATTCATGTTTACACAAAATTGTCAATAAGCCTGGCTTTTTATGTTGGCTTGCCCCAATTAAGTTCTAAATCGTCTGTATATGGTTTTATATAAACTGGTTATTGTATTTATTAAAATGAAAAAAAGTGACAGGTAGGTCAACAATTAATCCCCTAAACAACTATTTAATTAACATTTGTTCCTAATATCAACACAATGATTATTCACAAATTTTTATTCTTTATTAACGTTATTTTCAACGGTGACATCAAATTATATACTAGATATGAAATCATTTTAATCGAGGCATCAAACTTGCATCAAATTTGATATAATAAATAGTAACACTGATTTAGTTTTTTTTTTTTTTACTTTGAAACCTTTCTGACTGATTTCAGGTAGTTTTTTTAGGTTAAAAGAATATAAATAATCAATTTTAATAACTCGATAGTTTGTTTATTAAAAAAAAGAAAATTGACTCAAATAGCCATTCTACCAATTCAAATTGGCCTTCTAGTCATCATTCTTGTGGGTTTGTTTAAATGTTACTACGTCTACAATATCCACATCTGAAATACTACAGACCTGACTAAAAGACATAAAAAGATTCAAATATACAAAATATTCTTCAATGAATTATACAAATCGATTTTGCTTGAAATAATTATAAAAATCGATTATGAATTGACTTCTACAAAGTTGGTGTAGAAAAATAGTTTTAAGAAAATTTATAATAAAATATACAAAATATTCTTCAACGAAATAACAATAAATGTATAGAGAAAAAGAAGAAGGATCGAATAGAAATATTATTAACTACAAAAAATGTAAAGGTTAAACCGATTTTTATTGTAAATTATTTACAAAGCTGAAAAGAATGCAGATGATTGATCAATTCAAGGCAACTAAGATCGCATTAGAGCATTTCTAACAACTTTGCTAAAATAGCGATTTTGAAGATTTTTTAGTGTATATTTTTGCTCAACCAGCTATGTTTCAACGTATACTAAAATGGAGAAAAGAAGAGAGAAATATGGTAGAAATCTGTAAAACTCAATATTTTAAAGAAAAATTCTTTCTCACAAACGAGAGGCATTGAAATAAGTGTTTTGAAAAGAGAAATAATATTTTATTAAATGTCTTAATAATAATAATAATGTAATTAATTATAAAATTGCTAATTCTTTTAGATATTTTAGTTTTTTTGGCTGTCGTAATTCTTTTAGATATCCTATTTTAAAAAAAATGATAGTATAACTGTTAAAGATGCTCTAACTCGCAAGTGTAATTGTCGGTCAATATAACCTTTTTCACACTTCTTATAAAATTGACTATCTTCTTGTTGAACAAACCATTAAAAAATAAATACTTCAAATTTTTAATACATAAAATATTAAAGATTATTGTTTTGATAAGTTGGGAAATAAAAATGCAGGGTTTGGAAGACTTGAAATCAAAGGGATTTGAAATCAAAGATTGATTGTTTGTTTATAGGTGTCCCAACCCCACACCCAGTCCCAGAGCTACTCACTCACCAATTCTCTTCTCTTCACAGGAGGTGTTTATCATTTCTCTTCCTCACTCTTTCTCTCTCAATTTCAATTTATATGCTAATTACCTTTCTCTTCTGCAGTTTTATGTGTTAAACCATTCTAGGGTTTTCATTTCGTGGGGATAAATTGAAGCCCTTTGATTTGAGGAAAGAGAAAGAAAACTAATCGTTGCGGATTTGGTCGTCGGAGGTCAAATTCCAACTCCGGTAACAAGAATGAGCGCTTCTCGGTTCATCAAGTGTGTCACAGTCGGCGATGGAGCTGTTGGAAAGACTTGTATGCTCATTTCTTACACCAGCAACACTTTCCCCACTGTAAACTCAACTCAACTCAACTCTTCAAATTAATTTCTTCCATTTCTTTCTATGAAATACTATATTTATGCTTTAATTTGATCTCCTCATCTCATTTCTGTCTGCCATTTTATTTTTGTATTGACCTATCTGATTGCTGTAATTTGAATTTAGATTGTGTTTTTTTTGAAGAAAAAACTGTTTTCAATTTGATTTTCTCAATTTTATATCAATGAGCTAGGTTTTTCTACTAATTTGGAGGGAATTTTGGCTGTTATTTTCAGTGTATTTCTCTCTTCTTCCCCAAATTTAAGATGCATCTTTTTCTTTCATTTGAAATTGAAAACAATATGGGTATTCTTTTTTGCCTCCTTTCTATGAGCAAGTCTTCATAATTCAAGCTTTTAGTTTTCTCTCTAGCTATTTCTTTTATTGAAACCGAAAATATGAGTTTTTAATTAATTTTTTTATTTTTCATTTCAATTTCTTAACCTATAATGCTTGTATTCTCAGTTTTTTTTTCTTAAAAAATTGAATTTTCTTTGTAGAGAATATAATTGTGTTATATCAGACGCATTTTTGGGCCAATCTAATCTATGTACCAAACCGAACGAACCCGTTATATCCCACTAGTCTCATAATCCTTTAAATAAAATGCTTGTTGGTAATAATAAATCTTGGGACATTTGTGGTGATTTAGGGTTCTGATGTGTTTGTGTTATGAAAGGTTACTTTCTCAGAAGAAATTAAATTAGGGATTGCGATTGAATCCTTCTTGGTGATTCATGGTTAAACTACATATAGCATGTTCTCCAATTTTGTTGTGTATGAAATGATTAGTAATGGGTATGGATTTTCACCAGAGAACATTCACTCTTAACACTTTCTTGCATGTGTACTTTATATTGACAGGATTATGTGCCAACCGTTTTCGACAATTTTAGCGCAAATGTGGTAGTCGATGGGAGCACCGTTAATCTAGGGTTGTGGGACACTGCAGGTTTGTTAGAGGATATAAATGGTCGGTAGTTATTGCACAAATTTTTAGCAACAATCCCTTTGAACACCATGTCAGACAGCACCTGGTGAGAAATGTGTGTTACAACATTCACATTTGGCATTTGCTATCAAAAGTTTGTGCAATGACTGCTGTCTATCCTTTATCTTCAGATTGGAATTATTGCTTGTCTGATCTTTTTCCTTCTTTTTATTTTGTTGCTAAAATGATGTTATTGCTTGAAATAGGCCAAGAAGATTACAATAGATTGAGACCTTTGAGTTATCGAGGTGCTGATGTTTTTATACTTGCTTTTTCTCTCATTAGCAAGGCCAGCTATGAAAATGTCTCTAAAAAGGTGATTTGTTCTTTCACTAATGCATCCTTATTTACAGGGGTTTTGTGATACTTGTCTTCCTTTTAAGAACTGTTTGTGTAAACCTTTCTTTACAACGACAATGTATAAGAAAGACTGTTTTTACTTGTATTGTTTTTAGGTTCAATAGCTTATATTGCCTGTTGCAAATTGCTAGTAATGCTATCCAACTATTTTGTTCCATTTCCGTATGAATAACTAATGTCCTTGTGAAAGAAAAGTTATGGGGATGGAATGTAGCAAGAAGCCAAGATCTATGACTTAAAGGGACTTTTTCTATTTTCAATTTATCATTGCATTCCAAAAAAAAGATGTCTTTGATGTTATGAGGTCTGATTTGAATTTTTAGATTCAATCAAGGTTGCTTTTGTTATAAATTTATAGCAAACAAAATTCTAGCTGGAAGCTCATGTTATGAAGTTGTATGTGGTTATCAAATTTGCATAAAAAATTGAGATCCTATTTTTTAGGCCATCTAACATCATCATTTTGTGGCCCTGTTTGTAATGAGTGGATAACAAAGATGTGAATGTGTTTGAGTCATTGTGGGTTCCATTTACTTGATCAGATGAGAAATAAAGATGTGGCCCACAAAATGAAGAATGTTAAATTATGGATCTTCATGCAAACGGATGGTAATCACAAATATTTCATATGATTTTGGAAGTCGGAAGCTGATCAATTTAATTTCAAAAGTCAAATTTCATTCTTTCCGGCTTTTGTGCATGATTGAAGAGCAATGTTGCAACTGTTTGATGTACTACTTAATGAATTTGTTTGGTGTTTGTTTCATTCTTCAGTGGATTCCTGAATTAAGGCATTATGCACCTGGGGTTCCAATAATCCTTGTTGGAACAAAGCTAGGTAAGTTTCTTCTATCTATCTTTACACCTGATTATTGCAGCAGTTCTATTTACTACTGCTTTATCTACAATCTATTTCTCGATCTATCTTTACATTTGATTAACCTTTAATAATCAAATCATTTCTTTTTTCACATATGGTCTTCTACTTGTGAGAACTTATGCGTCCTTTATTAAATGCTTTTTGTTAATATATCTCATATCTTTAAACCGGACTCTTACTTTGCTCTAGGGTCAATCCTAGGAGCAAGTATTAAGGTCGCTCCTTTGTGATCTTGAGATGAAATGGTTAGAGACACATAAATAGTTTCTTTGCACTATGTGAGGGAAAGAACATGTATTATTGCTTCTCTCGAAATGAGAGAGCTTGAACTTTCCTTTTTCCTTTTTGAAGATCACAAAGAACGAGTATTGCTTGCTAGTTAAGGGAGATAATTACTGTTTCACTCTTTTATATCATTTTCCATCCTTCATTTTGTGGGGTGCATATATGTTCCTCCTCGCATCTTATAAGTGGAACCTAGTGCTAGATGACTGATATGAGTAGGACCTAATTTCCATGAAAATTGTAATGGTTGACTGGCCATTTGATTCGGGACAGTGCTACTATTTATCATTTCTGAAATACCTTTCACTAATGTCAACAAAAAGGAATCCTATAGACACAAATCAATATCATAAATAAGCAAACACATAATTATAACTTGGAAACTCCTTGGTATTAAAGATATTTGCAACTTTTAAGGGATATCGTAGAATGGAAGATGAAGCAATTTTCATGGGAAAAGAGAATTACATTCTAGATGCTGGTACTGGAACATACATCTCGATTGCATAGATTATGAACCTAATACATGGGTAAGGTTGATGCTACCCCAAAAATGTATTCCTAACAATTTTCCTCTGAAACGCCCTTTGAAATGTAGGTTCTTGATTGAAATTGGTACTTCGCATTACTTTTGATGCATTACAACTAGAAACAGTAGAAATTTAAATTGGCATCATAAAGATGAGGAAATATAACCAGATGATGTCTTTGTTTTTTCTTTTGTCGTCTCCTTTTGAGGTTAATCAACGTAAATGTCAATTAAATATCGTTTCTTTGTAGATCTTCGTGATGATAAGCAGTTTTTCACGGACCATCCTGGTGCAGTTCCGATCACAACGGCTCAGGTCCACCTCCTTCCCTTTTTCTTATATCACTTTTAATCATGCTCAGGTTTCATATATAAAATTGCATTCTATTATCCTTTAGACCCAACTTCTTTTTCACATTTCAATAGGGAGAGGAGTTGAAGAAGCTAATTGGTGCCCCTGCTTACATTGAATGTAGTTCCAAAACACAGCAGGTGACATCTCATTACTGTACTTCATATGTTTACACTTGCTTTCATATCTGTTAGTTTTGCATATTTCGAATTTATATCGTAAATTCTGGCTTTTTAGCTCAAATGTATGCTCTATTATGAAACCCTTTTTGTAGATAATTGTTCTTATCAACTTTGAAGATATCGTATGGTTATCATGCTCAGAATGATCTTGAAAATTCAAACCTAGTACTTCTCTGTTCAAATATTGTAGTTTCTAGTTTTCTACTATGGAACTCTTTTCGTTGATTATTTTTGACCAGAACAATCCTTTTCAATTTTGAAGTTAAAAGCTTATTTATCTTTTTGATTCTAATATATGGAATGCTATCTTGATGGAAACTTTGGTGTGGTTTCTACAGAATGTGAAGGCTGTTTTCGATGCAGCCATTAAAGTGGTTCTGCAGCCACCGAAGCAAAAGAAGAAAAAGAAGCGGAAGGGTCAAAAGGGATGCTCGATATTGTGATTTTAGACCGACCAAGTGAAGAGAAAAGTGAATTATGCTGTGCTAATTACCCTTGTACCTTTTCTAAAGCATTTGCTCACTTTTGCTTTCTGTCTCAAGAAAAGCAGCTGTGTTGTGCGGTAGATTGGAGGAGTTTATATAAGCTCATTATGTATATTGTTTAACACCAAATGGTTGAGGCTATTTTGGGTATTTCTAGTTTGTTTCTTATTTGGGGTGAAATTAATTTGATATGCTTCTTGTACCCTAATTATTTGCTTAATGTCAGCCACCATGTTTTCTTAAACTCGATCATGTTTCTATTTGTTTTTGAGTTCTTTTTAAAAACATGTCTGTGAAGATGTGGACTACTTACACCTGGACAGAAAGACCCTATGAAGCTTCATTGTTTCCTAAGATTTTCTTTGGCCTTTCCTACGCAGCTTAGGTGGAATATTTCGACATCGTGTCATGATGCTAATGAAAGACTTTGCTCAACTATCATGTTTATGTATTATTTTGTGTTATACCTAAACATAATAATAACCTTGGAATATTGTATTCTAAAATGTCTGTAGTTAAATATTAATTCAGGTTTAGGTTGAATCAATATGGTAGGAATAGTGTATATGTAAGGATCCGTATGGAGATATAGAATCCACATAGAGGTACAAGATGAGATCTTGTGTACCAGACGTGCTCGTTGTGAGAACGTTTCATTGTATGTTTATGTGGTTGTTGTACACATAGTTCTTTGACTTGAGATTATGGAGTTCTCTGTGTGAATGACGTACTTTGATAACAGATTCGAATAATTCCATAACGACTTTATGGTTGTTGGTAGTGTCATGTATCAGTTAGTAGTATTAGCATAGATCAATATATAATTTGTTCCTCTTGGAACAAGAGCGAAAAAGTACATGCATGCTCAAATAGTCAGTATATGATATCGATATCCGTCTTATTAGCATATTATGGAATCAAGAAACTAAAGATCGGATATAACGAGGATGACATTTTTATGTCTCGTGTTCAATCTAGATATCAAGGACAAAGGGACATTCATGTTTATAGTGATAATGGTTAGGCTGTTTGTTGATTAGCCAAATCACCAAACTCTATTATTTGGATAATGATGATGTATTGTTAGACGTCGCTCCATTAAAAATCGATGCTTCCTTGAGCAAAAAATGTCTCTTGAAATTAATCAAAAAACCGAAAAAAAATCCTTTGAAATCGACGTAAAACACTAAAAAGACCCTCGAAATGGTGTAATTAGGCTAAAAAAAAGCCGGGCGACTTTGCAGGCCATTAGTCCACCTTAAAGGTGCCCCTATTAAGCAAAAATCATGGATCCGTCACTAAAAATAGGATTTATAATTATTGTCAACATGATAAAGTTTCAATGAATGATACGAAATGTATATATGAATAAGAAACTAAATACTTAAAGTGTTTAATTTATAATATATATATATATATATATATATATATATATATATGTAAAAGGACAAACATTCAATTAGAAGATATGAGATATTCTTCTAGACGTGATACTTATATACTTGTTGATTATAATGATCATCAATACACTTGTATAAATAGAGACCCATTGTGAGACAATGGAAGCGTTGGTTGCAATAATTGTTTCATTCTATTCAATTCCTTCTCTATATATTTCACAAGTTGCTCTTTTTTTTTTTCTATATTCCACAAGCTGCTATTTCTCTCTTCTAAGGAGTTGGGGCCCATATCTAGCATTCGGGAAGAAAGATGATCTCCTCCCTTGGCGTAAGACCCGCATTTTGGGGACTATTTGTAAAGCATGTGAAATAAAAGGACAAGTAACAGTAAGTTATAATTTAGGGACTATTTATTTGTTTACGATGGGTTTATGCGAGTGGAAGTTGGATGTGTTATTTGAATTGAATTGAACATGTATGAATAGAATTAGAGATGAAAGGGGGTTTGGGCCACAAACATATCCCAGGAGCCCAAAATATAAAATATTTTTGTATTTTCCTTACACAAGTTGTCATATGCTTAATTACAGCATATGAATACAATCCATCATTAAGATTCTATGTTTCAATTACTAAGCATATTTGATTCTTTTTTTTAATTATTTAAATATACTTTTAATTACTCATTTAAATATTATATATAATATAATATAAGAAAGTTGAAGGGAGTAGGTATTTTATTGGTGATCGGTTTCTTTTTTTTTTTAAAATGGAGCAAGAAATCGAAAAACAAATGAATATTACTTACTATTTTATTTTATTTTATTTTCTATGATGATCCTTTCACCTTTTTTGTTATTTTATATATGTGAGTAGTTTGGATTTCGATAATTATTATATTAAATTTATAGAATTTGGTACCTTGCTCATGTCATCAATATTTGAAGTATAAACAAATAATAGATATTTAATCATCTTCACATTTATTCCACCTACAAATTTTTTATTTATTAAAATAGTCCTTTCTTAACATTGTTTTCATCTTTTAGTTATTTTCTCTTCAAGTTTATCAAAATGACCATACGTTCCGTAATTGCAGATCCAGTTAAATAAGGGGTGTTCGCGGTCCGGTTTGGGTGGTTTAACCTCTCAGACCACAAACCAAACCGTAATGGCGGTTCAAACCGAACAGTTTGACATCAAGTGCTCAGACCGGTCAGATCAGATCGTCTTTTGGGCTTTTAATGGACTTTAAATATTAAACTTAAAAACATATATAATTTAGAATTATAGATTAAATATCCATTTTAACAAAACAAAACATCTAAACAAATAAATGTAATAATTAAGCAGCTCTTGAGTATAAAGTCGAAACAATCCAAAGTATAAACAAATAAATATATAATACATATTAGAAAACAAAAAAATTAACAAAGTTTCAACTTCACTGTGAGTATTGAGTAACAAAATCCACACTTTACAACCTTTAATAGTTCAATTATTGAGTCTTGAGTTCTTGACCAAACAAAATAGAAGTCAAATCTAAGTTGGTTGAATCACTTGGTTGATGTCTTGATGATGTGCACCGAAATCAAACCATGGATTAGAAAGATCGATAGAGTGATAGAGTTCTTGAGGGACTTCAAAATTTGGAGACCATCAATATCAAATGTGTCGATATGTTTAATGGTTTTAGGCGCCGATTTTGATTATGTTAGATGTTAGGCTTAAGGATATATTTGGGTCATAGCCCATAAGTTAAAAAGTTAGGCTTGCTAATACTAATATATATATATATATATATATATATATATAGGGGCTTAATCAAATGAGAACTGAATTGTTTGTGGTAACTATGAGAACCAATCTCAACCACATATTATAATAATCAATGGGTAAGATTAAAAAGAATCTTAATTAATGTATTTCTATAAATAAATTACTATCATTTAATGACATTATATGAACAAGGGCAAGATGGTCATTTTGTACGTTAATATTCTTATTCAATTGGAATCCAAATATAGTGAAGATACTTTCATGTATTTGAGACGGAGATGATTGCCTTAAGCCCTAGAGTAATCTCAATTTGTGCTATATATGTATATGTATATGTATACATATGTATATGTATATATATGTATATGTATATATATGTATTTGGCGGTCGGTTTCGTCCAAGCCTCCCAAAAAAGATTCCAGATCGCAGACCGGACCGGACCACCCGGTTTTGCCATTTTCCAAACCAGATCGGACCGCCAGACCCCTCAAACCGCCAACAACGGTCCGGTTTGACTTGGTTCGGTCGGTTTGAGCGGTCCAACGGTTTTTTTGAACACCCCGAGGTTAAATAACAAAGATATTTATACTTTTTATCCCTATCCATAAAAAATATTACATTTTTCACCAATGTCCACAAAAAAATTACATTTCTCACCCAAGTCCGCAATCTCTTTTTTGCATTTTTCATCCAAGTCTACAAAAAAAAAATTAAGATTACGAACCTAGGACTATTTTGATAAGCCTTATAAAAAAATGGTTAAAAGGTGAAATCAACTGTTTATTAATTTCTCCTAAAAAATTATGGCCTAAGATATTTGCATCTTTATCTATGTGCTAAAAATACACCTTTTTTACTACCTACTATTCATCATAACTCAATAATTTTATCATCATTCAACTTTATTTATATTTTATTTATTTATTATTATTATTACTTTTCTTTCATTTAATCAAGTTTTATTATTATTA